AAAATTTCGGGAAACCAACAAGGCACTCACAGGGTATTTACAGAACCTTCACATTCTTAACTAGAACTGACCCTTCCTACCTGATTGCTTTTCTTTAAAATTTTCACAAGGAGAATGTTAATTAGAAGGTGCCTACATGGTCCAAGTAACAAGATGAGATATCTTGGAGGTATTGATATGATAGAATGATATTTACAGGATATCTATTTTGTTTGTACAAGGATAGCACAGGATTTAAGGGGATTTCTGTGGTTATTAAATGGAAAAATGCATGGAGTACTTTCAGGGATATTTGCACATTTGCTTAAAGGTTACAACAAATGTTTGATCACCTTTACGCTTCTCCACACATTGAGTACAGGGCTTCACGTAGATCCAAGGCTGGATTCTGAGGCAACTCGTATTTATAATCTATGTGGGCATTCATCAGGGACCTACAGATTACCTTTTCGGTAACATGGAATCCCTAAAGTGACTGACCTGCATTGTCAGATGAAGAGTTACCCTATGTACATACTGATCTTTTTTATATCTTGCTGACGTTTTCTCTTAGTAAGGCAAAAATCTTGACTTAATCGTGAGCCACATTTCTGTCTTCTTTCTTGAGAAAGAGAAACTGCTTCTTTTCCTTCCTAATGAGCTCCTACTGGAGATGATAGTCATCTCATTCACCACCTCTGAAAATAATTCTCTTGTTCATACCAATCACACAGATTATCCATATAGCTTGTGCATGAGCGAGTGTCGACATTCGCTTCCCAAACATCCCGCAACAAAGAAACAATAAACAGATACAGCACACAAAATGAGCAGTGAGGAATTTGCACTAAAATTGGCAAACAGACAATTGTCTGTTGCTGAACTGTGACAAACACTGTTGATGAAAAACAGAGGGAAGCTTCCATTTGTTTCAACACATAACCCTGCTTAATGAAAGACTTGAAGTAAAACAGACTATTTGCACATATTGAGTAATTTGCTCAATATGTGCACAGACAGACATATGACTTCTAGTTTCAGTCAATAACATGCTAAATATTTTAGAAAAGAAATTTCCATGCTGATTAAATTAGAATTTTGTGAAGATGTGAATGATAATTCACTTTTCTCAATCTGAAATTAGATTTCAGTATGGTGATTTGGATGACAGATGGTTTGTTTTTCACAGCTGTTTCATCTCAGTGCTGGTATAAAATCTGGTGGTGCGTCACAGTGGTGGTAATCTACAATACACTAAGCATTTCATTCATACTTATCATTTGTCACTCCGATTTTAGCTTTTCCAGTCAAATAATCATTTATGAGTTGTGTGTTTTTCTTTACAGCCATGCATTTATTAAATACACCACATCAGCTTGCTGGTTTCTCTATAACAGAGGCCACACTGACATCTTGTGTACATAAAATGCCACTGAATGATGGATAGTGAGGTATCAGCGAGTTGGTTGTTGTCATTAATGTGATGGGATTAAGAGAATAAATGAATGCATCAGACTAAGTAAAAGCAAAAATGTGGTACTTTTAGCATATAGCTTCATAAAACCACATGTAGAACAGAAACATTCTTAATTTTTAAGCAATATTTTATATCCTGATCCAGATGTCCACAGCAAACATTTTGTCCCTATTTACATCATTTCTGTTACAAATGTCAGAATGATAATAGAGAGTATTGTTTTATTATTATCTTCAAATTCAAATGCATTGAGCTAAATTTTCTTAATATTTCATAGAAATGCCTTTTAAACTGTCTGACTTGGTTCAAATATTTAGTTTTTCTTTCCACAAGTTCCTCATATTTTGAAAGAATTTTGTTGAAATTGGATGAGGTTTGAAGGCCTCCTTAGTCACACACAGCTTTTCATCTCTGTCCCATTCATTTTCTCTAGAACTAAGAACAAACATTGACTTTGCTGTCTGAACTACATTCAGGGAACAGAGACTTTTGGTTCTTAGATTTCACAGCCTACAGAAACCACCTCACTGTCCAGAAAGAGACGAAGCCTCCAGACTTGCTGCCCTGCAGCTGTTGCTTGTCCTACCTTCCAGAACTGCCACCACTGTCCTGCTCCAGGATGAGAACACTTGTCCTTATTTGAGCCAATGCTCACCTAAAGCCAAATGGATGCTTCCTTAGCCATTAGCCAAGCCGCTAATTGTAAATGGTTTTCCCCACTGTGCTGCAAAGGCTCCCTTCCAGTATTGGAGAATTGTGAGGCGCAAAACTTTCAAATATATAGATAAACATAACAAACCACAGAGACGAGTTCTTACTGCCAGCCACAACGGGTAGGGAGATTTATTTACACTCTACCACGGATAAAACATTGTTTCTCAAGTTCTCAAAATCTCAAACAAAATCTTCAGAAAATCTCCAAAAAATCTCAACCGTTGTTTGTCTACAGACATTCTTATAGCTTCCAATGACGTCGGTTTTGCGTCAAGATTCTGGCTGCCCATTGACTGAGTGTGTGTTGGGGTTTTCATAAATTTCTTACTGACCTCTCATCTGAACATGTGCTCCATCACAGAACTGCAAAACAAGTCAATTAATAATAATTCTTGTTCTTATCTATCTAAACAGCTTACTTTCCAACCCGAGTTTTGTTCCAACATTTTGTACTTTCCAGACAAAAATTAGGTCAGATTGACCTTTCTGGCGCCAGAAATCTTTTCCCTCAAAAACAACTCTTTTTTGTTTTTGACACCAGTCATGGCTACCTTAGTATAGTCATGACTAGCTAGCCACAGCTAATCTGTAGTTTAGCGAAATAAGATTTAGTTAGTCATAGCTAAACCATAGTTTAGCCAACAAAGGTTTAGCTAGTCATGGCTTTGTCATGACTCCCTCTTTGTTAAGGAAGGAGGACAATGGCTGCTGAAGTCCTTTTGACTCAAGTCCTTTGTTAAGAAGGACTAATGTAAGAGTTGTTTCTGAGCAGAGTAAATTAGTTAGGACAAAACAATTTTCTGATAGTGTATTGTATTGTTTTGTATTTATGGAGTTTAGCAAGATGTAATGCTCTAACTGCTTGAGTGTAAACAGGCCACTAAGACTGTGAGATAAACATTTCCTTTCTAAAGTCAAGTAAAGTCATTTGCTTGATTTAAAGTGAGCTTACTATCATGTCCTCCCTTCTCACTAAATATTATATAGTCCCTATAGGTATCTGAATGGGCACAAAGGGAAGGAACTGCCCCATGCAGAAGTGAGAGGCCTTTACTTTCCTGTGAAAGCAAAGGCTACTGTTTGTACCCAACACAAACAGCTGAGTTTGTGTTGGGCACACTCACCTGTTTGATTTTGCCACAATGTTTATATTTCTTTTACATAAAAATTTTTGTTATTATTATTATGTTGGGTGTTTTTTTATAAAATAGTTTATTTTGAATTACAAAACAGTTTATTTGTTGTCTGCAGTTGAACATACAGTAGTCAACAAGCAAGAGAACAGCTGTATGAATAATTTGACCACAGTGACAAACAACACAAATAAATGGTGTCTTATTTATTATATTTTCCATATTAACTTTAAGAGTACTTTTCTACACCCACTGAATGTTTGTATTGACAAACATGCATGTTAGTTATTTTCTATTGGCAAAACACTCACTTTTAATTGTAACACAAGCATTGCAGAGATTTCATAGAAATATTTTTATAACCACAACACCAGAGAAAATGAAGTAAGGAAAAATGAACTTTGTAAATGTAATTATATTGCTTGCAGTGTCTAAGCTGCTAGTGCTCAACAGCTACAGTGAGGCTTAGAGCAGCAACATCAGCTTCCATCTTTATATAACATCATGCGACAAGCTCATTTTCCTCTTTGGTGCAGTCCATTTCATTTGATTTCACAGCCAGAGGCTTTCGTGCTCCATCTAATGGTGAGAGGTGGCTGCTGAGATTTGGACGATTGATTTTACTGCTCCCTCACTGCGTGGGATAGCTCATGTCTGCAAAGCTCTTTGACTGTTTTTATATGATTTCAAACAAAGAATCCATCCTAATAATCTGCAGCTCATTAATGCAACAATTTTTATTTTCTTTACTAAAAAAAGTTAAACATGATGACTTCTTTATATACTGTATATGTAATATATTCGTAGTATACTGTATGTGTATTCCTTTTTAATGGGTGTACATGTCTGGTTACTTTCAAATAAATCTACTGAGAGATTTGTTGTTGTTGTTTTAACTATTTCTTTTATATGCTGTTTCTTTTTATATCTTGTCAAGCTGAGAGCTCTGAAAGAGTGATGTCACTGTCTGCAGTAAGTGTGCTGTTCCCAGGAGGGTAATCTTCTTGATTATTGGCATCTTCAGTGCCAATGTTCCTGTTGGTAAATTTTTTAAGCCTTTTTCTCATAAGTCCGAGAGCTTGTGAATCACTAGTATTGTTTCAGCCCTTATCTTCTACATTTTAACCACTTACGTTTCCAGATCTTTATACCTAAACAGCTTTTCTATCATTTTAAAAGATTTTTTTCCTGACAATTAAAAAATAATAATAATAAATAAATAAATACATACATACATAAAAATATAATAATAATAATAATAATAATAATAATAATAATAATAATAATAATAATAATAATAATAATAATAATAATAATAATAATAATAATAATAATAATAATAATAATAATTCTGTGAGATGGGAAAACTTTGTCGAGAAAAGAAGATATTGTTCCCAAGAGCAGGTAAAATTGGTACCTGTTTCCTTCATGAAACATGAAAAAATTGTGTTTCTTGTATGTAATGGAAAGTGCCACTAGATGACGCTGACGAATAGATTTTTCTTTCTCCAGTTGAGCCTGAATCTTATGAAAACATTTGCGTAAATTTTACTAGTTTTTACAGTGCCTTAGTTTAGCTATGTTTATCATCAAATTGAACTAAAATTAGCTGTGGAGTTTTTTACAGTGATATTTGGGTCCATAAAAATCTCGCGATAATTTGCACTGTTACTTTCTTTCTTGAGAGCGTACGCATTTTTGCTTTGACGGTCTCGTGTGAATCACGTCCTTTACGTACAGCAATTGGCGTAGTGTACTGGTTCAGTGAGTTGTGGGGAGTGTATTTTTTCTTCCAGAGGGAATGTCAAGCTCAGAAGTCCTGGTTGGTGAAGTGGAGGGTAACTGCAGCATAATGGGTGAGTTTTCTCAGCTTTGGAAAGCTGTGTTTTTGCCCTGGAGCTTTGTTTAGGACCGACTTTTCGCTAGTGCCTGCCTCTTCAGCGAACTGTTTCCTATCTTCGTTGAACAAAATACTGAAGAATATATGTTAGTTGTCTTTACTTCTGCTTAATGCCGTTGAACAGACATGTTAGTGAGATATGTAGAAATGATTGTCATGTATAGCTCTTTGGCAACATGTCAGAACCAACTATAGTTTCCTGCTGTTCTCTCTTATGAGACTCTTATGAGACAGCTCCGTCACTTCTTTTTAGACCTCAAGTAATCGGAGTTCACACGAACCGTCAATTCAGAAGTATTGTTTTCCTTCTGATTAATACTTCAGAACAAGGCCCATTCGTTGGAAATAAAGTCAGACCTAATAACTGAGAAGAGCTGTCAGAATCCAGAGACTGGAGTAAGTTTAGCAATTTGCGGAAGCAGCATTGTTCTCATCGGTATCTGTGTCTAATGCTTTGATCCAGAGGCTGTGCTAGGATCCTTAAACACTAGGGGCTAAGCCCACCCATTAAAGACTTAAATACCATTCTGTTGCCCATTTACAGTGTTGCTTTTTGTGTTTCTTGAGATCATTAAACATTTTTTGTTACCAGGTGAAGGTAACTTAAGTATTTAGAAATTTAAGATTTCAAGTGGTTTGTTTGTTCTTGCTTGCTCTGTTGTGAAAGTACAAGTTGAACTTTCAATCAAGTGTTTTTGAATTCTTTTTTGCAGAATAGTTTTAATTCAGCAGCATTGATGATATGCCTGGTGAGGTCAGCATCTCAATTAGGTTAAAGCTAGGACTTTAACTAGGCCTGGTCATGACCTGCTTTCCTTTCTTACATATTCAGTTTTACCTCAATAAAACCTATATGGTAATAAACATTTACTTGTTTATTACAGCCATTTGTAGCGTCATCTAATGTAGTTGCGTTGGATGATTCACTGCAAGCCAGGAAACATAAATAATTTATATATTATTTTCTTTTTTCATTTTTGTGAAATTTTATAACTTGGCTCAAAATTCGCATGACAGTTGGATGGAAATTGTTTCTGTTCCTAACCAGATGAACACAATTCTGGCTTTTAGGTGTAGAGAAAACTTCATACCTGGTAGAACAGGTGTAGTTGACCTGCCTAATGGACATTGTCTATTGGATGGATTGCACTGGTTTCCATTTAGTTCAAATTCAGTGTAGGAACACTTGCACGGTAGTGTTCTGGAGTACCTCAAGAATGTTGGTTTTGCTTTGAGCAAAAAAAAAAAAAGCATTTGATTTGTCTTTTGTCTCCTACATTCTTACTGCTGTGGTATTAACATGGTTGCATGTAGGCGACCGTGTTGACTAATTATCGTCCATCAGATGGCTCCCTTCCTGTTCTGCATAATATCCCATGTACCTATTACCATCCATGTCTTCTTTGTGAAACACCTACACGTTGCTAAACATGCTAACTCCTGATAGCGTCCTCCACTGTGAAGCAAGACAATTCAAATAAACCATGACATCTTTTGTATGCAGATGTGTGTTACTAGAAAAGCACCAGACATTCATTTAACAAGTGCAGCCGCCCTGCTGGTTATAGATTGTGAAACGTAGAATTTGTCAGGTAGAACTGAGTGTGTGGTGTGAAACAATGTAGAGAAACAGGTCAGTCTGCTGCACTGGGGCAAGTCTCTCTGATGTCAGGTGTATTACAGGAACTAAGATTTCTGTTTTTATTTAAAGATAATTACATTGATTCAGTAAAAATGCTTTTCAAAGAAGTTTTCGAAGAAAAGAGAAGGAGCAGTTCTGAGCCACAGCATGGAGGAGAATAAATACCCAGTTTTATTATGAAAAACAAAGCTGGATCCAAGCATCATGCTGTGTGTCTGTGTGAGTACTATATAGAAGTACAGAGGGATAAGTCAGGCCTCCTGCCTGCTACACACGGAGTATCAGGTGACACGGAGGCTAATTGTTGGAGTATAGTCATGTCTCTGTGCATCAGCGATAATTTCTTCTGTCTCTACATGCAGTAACAGGATGGTTCACATCTACATTAGATTTCCTCTACCCAGCAGATCAGAGAGTTGTTTATAGTTGTTATATTTTTAATCTTGTTAAATTGGAATTCAGTCTAGTGTTGAGCTCCATTTTTTTTCTGTTAAAACAAGGAATCCATGTAAATGTTTTATACAGGTAACCCCTAAGTTTCTTGGCCATAGCAATGTTAGCTCCTGTAGAAAAGAGTCCTGATGGTCACATGATCAGACTCATCCAGTTCAGCACGATGAGCTGTGGCTGACAGCAGCAAAGCAAAGCGATGCTCACTCTGGTTTATTCTGCAACATCACGCAGTTGACACACAACAACACTGGGAGTGTTGGAGCTTTTTGATGAATCATGCCAGAATAATGAAAGAAATGGTTTTGGTATGCAAACACGAGTGACATGTTTTACAGGTCTGTGGATCTCTGCAAGGTACAGCACTTAATCTAATTATAGCTCCAAACACCTGCTGGGGTGTAGATCATGTTCTCTTCATTTCTGGTCATGTTTAGATTTTTTTTTTATAGCTGTGACTTAAAATTATTTTAGTAATCAGTGATTCTATTGGATAGTTTGATGGTTAATTGATTAACTTGTATAAAAAAATTGGCTTTTCTATTTAATTGGCTTATTTTATATCAATCAATCAATCAATCAATCAAATTTTATTTGTATAGCACATTTCAGCTACAAGGCATTTCAAAGTGCTTTATATCATAAACACAAAACAAAAAGGCATGCAACATAGAATAAAATACCAAGGTTTTTTTTTGTTGTTGTTTTTTTTTTGTCACGGAATTTAATCGCCTGTTACCGCCGGACTCCGCCGTCCGTTTAACCAGGGGTATTCGCCGGGCCCCGTTGCCCACAACAGAAAAAGATCTCAACCTTTTGACACGGAATTTAAGCACGGAATTTAAGCGCCTGTTACAGCCGGACTCCGCCGCCGGCTATACAGCATTAGAAATACGTAAAAATGCAAATAAATAATTTTAATTCCTCATCTAGTGAGAAAATAAATATTTTATTAGCCATAGAATGCTGTTACGTTGATTAATGCAATATTGAGCTAATGGTCAATGTTGATCATGCAAAGGAAAGGATGCATCTAGTCGAAAACAATCATTCTAACATGTGAAAAGGTCAACACGACTGGTTAGTGGCATCAACTAACTCACGCACGCTTTGATTACCTAGCAACAACCTGTTGAGTAACTGGCAAAGCAGCAGTTTCAAGTTTTACCTCAGAACTGCTTCAAAATACATTTAAAAACATGGTGTGGAGGGAAAACTGTGGATAAAACAGGAAAGGTCAGGCCACCAGTTTGCCTGGATTTCAGATAGATAAAATAAAAAACTAACCTTTCTTAGCTGGCAGTGAGAGGTTGATCAGTTAAAGTCTGATTTTGCCTATATCCCCCAGAATGCTGTGCATTCTGGATCAGAGATCAGTCAATGTTCTATATATTAAATGTTCTATGTATTTTTATATATCTTTTTATTGATTTATTGTCCAGCCCTATCTTTGGAGATCAGGATACCTGAATTCTGCTGTAGGAGATTCATCAAATACATTTCCTGGAGAATCTCCTGTTTTTATCCCCATGTTAGGATGAAAATCCGGTTGAGGAATTCTGGGTGGTTCTTTAGAGCAGAGTGCGTTGGATGGGCTGAGAGGTTTGGATGAACCTCCAGAGCAGGAGGATGTGTGGAATGTCGGAGCTGTGTCAGGGTCGTGGGAAGCTGGTTGGTGTGTGTGAGAGAATCTCTCTGCTCTCTGTTCAGGCAGACTCAGACTCAGGCTTCCGGGACTGCCCTCCCACATAGTTTCCGCTTCTTCAGCAGAGTGCACCTTGCTTTCGGATATGGCCTCAATGCCTTCCTGCGCTGATTTAATTTTTGTGGTAAAATCTTAGCTCAGGAGCATGTCCCTCCATGTTTCTCTTTGGTTAACATGGTAGTGGGAGCTGCTGATGCTGTGCAGCACTGCTGAAACAAACACTCACACTTCTCTGTCTGGGATGACATTCACCAAGCCCACTCATTTACAGATGGTTACAGACAGCACCTTCCTGTGTTGCAGATGTGGAGGCTTCTCATCAAACACTTTGTGAATGTAAACTGACCTTATCAGTCATGTTAGGTGTAAGAATATACTGTGTCTTCATTCTTATTTTTTGTAGAAATATGCTTCTCTCTGTGGTATTTGCATGCAGTTTCAGTTTAAACTATTAGCAACGAACAGGAAGCAGTGTGGAGAGGGCCACAGTTTGCACTGTGAAGCTGTCAAGTAGAATGCCTGTTCTAAAAGTGGTTGAGTTTCAAATTAGAAATGAGTCATGAGTCATTAGTCTTTCAGTCATGCAAAAATACCAGAAAGCAGAAACCGAAGTACTTCATTTAATTCAGTGTGAATATGTGTCATCCTTTTTATAGCTGCGATACCAGAACAAGACATTTTATGTTTTATCTGAGAGCTACATTTATAGAGTAGTCCTAAATGCAGTGCCATATTTGTGTATACAATACAAAGTTTTGCTGCATTTAGAAACTTCTGTACAATATTCCACAGCATCTTGCTCATCAGTCTCTACTCAAACAAGTCAAAGAAATACTCAGTAGCACCACAGGGAGGAAGTGGAGGAGCTTTATCTGTCTCATACTGTCATAACATTGTGTCAGTTTAACTGGTGTGTAAAAAAAAAGAAAACAAAAAAACCAAAGAGATAAAAACATATTTTTCTATATACTTCAAATTCTGTAGAAATATTCATGAGTGCTCGCAGAGATTAAGGATAAAAGAGAATTTGTTGTCCTAATTCTTTCCATTGTTCTTGTTTTTATGTGTCCTGGATCTACCACCTTCACTGCTGCCTTGCTCGCCATCCGTCTGCTCTCCAACCAGCTGTAAGTACATCACTCTCTTTTCAGTGAGATGAAAGATCACCTGCCCCAAAACTACTTTGTAAACATTTTCAAATGTTATGGTGGTATGGTAGTGTTTTGGTGTTGTTGTCTTTTGTTAAAGAAACATTAAAAAGTGTGGCATATATTTGTATTTCTCTAACTTTAGTCATTGTAATCAACTCCCAATAAGAAAATAGATTTAATTACAATACAAACACAGCTGTTCTGTTTCTGACCTCAGATGTTAGAGAACATCAGAGAACAAATGGAACCATAGAGACCAAGAACCCAGCACACATATAGAGAAGTTTAAAGCAGTGTTAGGTTTAAACAACATTCCAGGCTCAGAACATGTATGATCAGTCAACCATCCATGGAGGGAAGATGGACCACCTGCATATTTGCAAAGATAATGATGTCCACCGAGACTGACAAGCTGGACAAGGAGAGCATTAATGAGGGAAGTGGATAATGTGATGTGTTGCTGGTCACCTGTCCATCACATGACCGCAAACATGTGGAAAAACATCCTGGTCAAATGAAACTAAAATTGAACTTTTTTGAATAGAATAGAATTCAACTTTATTGTCATTGCACTGTCACATGTACAAAGCAACAAAATGTAGTTTCCATCTATTTAGGTATGATAAACAGGTGTACAAAGATATGGTGAATAAACAAAGAATAATAGTGATGTGCTATAAAATAAAATGTTTTGTATAAATATAAATATAAATATGAGAGCTATGAATATAAATATGAGAGCTATACATATACAAACTACACAGATTGTACGGAATCTGTGGAGATTCCGTATAATCTGTGTAGATTATACTTCAGAAATATGAAGAATGGATTGTATATATATTAGTTGTTTTATAATACAGGATAAATAATGGCAAATTAGATTTACAGATTACATAAAGATTGTATACAGGCCAACATGCAGCTCCCTGAGGAAGAAACCCTGAACACATGATAGCAATAACAAAACATGATGCTTTGTTATCAGCTTTCTTGTTTGGGGAAGGAACAAGAAAGCTGGGCAGCTAAGGAAGGAGCTAAATACACCTTCCAGCAGGACCACTAGCCACGGCTAGACTGGCATGGTTCAGGTCAAAGGGCCAAAGTTCAGGCCTAAACATAACCTAAGATTGAGCTATCTTGCTGAGAATAATGAGCAATGGTTTTGGTCTCCTGATGTGCTGAGCTTGCAGAAAAAAAAAACCTTTGCAGATGTCATTTTCACAAAAGTTGTTTATGTAATATATGTGCAGAGGGCCGAAATACAAACTCACACTATAGTTTTCACATTTCTGTTAATGACAAATTTATTAAACACCATTATTTTTTTTTCCAGTTTCCCATTATCTTCAGCTTTGTATTGGTATAGGAGCATGTCTTTACTCATTATTTAACAACTGTACAAAATTAAGTGTCATCTGTATGAAACGCTTCTTGAGATTTTTGAATGTCTGGTCATTTTGTCAACTGTAGTTCTTGGCTTTGGAGAGAAATTTAAATATATGTGCTTAAATTCAATCTACAGCAACAGAAGAACCTGGAGGGCTATGTGGGTTTTGCTAATCTCCCCAACCAAGTTTACAGGAAATCAGTGAAGAGAGGCTTTGAGTTCACTCTGATGGTTGTGGGTGAGTACATCTGTATTCATCTGTGTTTGCTTGTCTACATGTTTCTGCATATGACCCAAAATAATGTCACAGAAGGCTTTGGGTTTATTGTGTCATACAATTCTATTATATGATTATGCAACACTTACAGCTGCAACAGAAAGTCAGCTGTGGCTCAAGTAATAATCTTTGCAGATGTTGTTCCCCACAGAGTAGGGTTGGGCCATGTACATATGACCTCTGACAATATTATGATATATGAAGCAGTTTGCCTTGATAATGATAAATGGACATTAACACATAGTGCTCCTCTGGTGAACTTAAGACATGTCCTTTTGGCCTTTCACAATAATTAATAAATCAATTAATTGTATGCATACTCAATAATTTCCATTGGCATAATTTGTCGTTTCGCTTTTTTTTTTTCTCTCTCTACCAAAAACTGGATAATAAAAGTCTTCAGTTTGGTGCTTTGGCCTCAACAATCCCTTTTTTGAAGACAATTGTGGTTATGGTGACTTCAAAATTCATTTTATTTCTTTTTTTGTTTTGCTTATTTTGGATATTTAAAATGTCTTCCAGTTCCATTGTTAAATGTTCATTAGAATTTAAAGTTTACTGATCTTTTAGAATGTGTTCTTGCATCATTATTTTGCCATTACCATTATTTTGCTTAAGGATGGTCTCAAACCAATAAGATTATCATTTATTGCAATAACTTCTGGAACAATTTCTTACCCAGCAAAATTTCTTATCATGAAAGGCCTTACTTACTTTTCAAAATAAAAACTTACATCATCAATTTTGCTGCAGCTTGGTCATAGAAAGTCATTCCAAAAAGGTCTCTTTTAATTATTCATGAGCTAATATGGAGACTGCATGGAGGTTGGGGGACAGTAGCAGCTGACCTGTGTGCTCCATGTGTCTCATCATCATCCACTGACCCACTCTCTGGTTTTACATCACCAACCAGTTGATGGCTGAGTGGCTGTTGCTTCCACTCACCTCTACTTTGTTATAGTGTGGCTAACAGCTGACTGTGGAATATTTGGTAGTGAGGAAGCCTTAATACTGGACTTATTGTATGTATCTCCTCCTGTGATATGTGGTGAGATTCAGAGCTGGTGAAGCACTGATTTAATCAGAGTCAGGTTTACAAATATAGACCCCCTGCATGTTGTTGTTCTTTCTCGTTCTCTGTGTTGGCCAATCCACAAGCAGACTTGTTGCCATAGCACCACCACTTTATGTTTCAGAATTCAACACCAAAATATACTCAAATATTTCCCACACAAAGAACAGAACATTCCGTCCGTTTCAATAGTGTGGTTTTAGGCTTACTGTTTTTTTATTTATTTTGTGATTATTAAAAAATGATCACTGTGGTAAATTATAGCTACCACAGCTCTTAGCTAATCTAACACACTAGTTTGTGGGTTAGACTTAGACTTAGACTTAGACTCGTACTTTATTGATCCCTTGGGAAGACTCCCTCAGGAAATTGAAGCTTACAAGCAGAAAAGTGGCACACAGTGCGCAAAATACAAAAGAATACAAGAAATACAAATTAAATACAAAGGTACACACTAAATGTGAGTAGCCAAAACCCTAAATTAAGCAAAAATAAGCAAGAAAAAAGAATATAAATCAAATATAAATACAACACCAAAGAAAATATAGGAATTTGGCAGATAGATTGACCAGTGATATGATATTGCACTATATGGTTTGGCCTGATAAGTATGGATATTTGCAGAAAAGTACAAGGGGTCACTACTCCTTCTTCCCTCTGTCCTGTGTCACCTCCCACCCCCCAGTGAGGAGTTGTACAGTCTGAAGGCGTGGGGGGCAAAGGAGTTCTTGAATCTATTGGTCCGGCACTTGGGGAGCAGCAGTCTCTCACTGAACAGGCTCCTCTGGCTGCTGATGACGGCGTGTAGAGGGTGGCTGCTATCGTCCATGATGTCCAGCAGTTTGTTCAGTGTCCTCGCCTCTGCCACCGTCACCAGAGAGTCCAGCTTCATGCCGACCACAGAGCCGGCACGCCTGATCAGTTTGTCCAGTCTGGACGTGTCCTTCTTGGATGTGCTGCCTCCCCAGCACACCACGGTTGTTGCTTTTCTGCATTCTTTACACAAAATGTTCTCTTTTTTTAAATAAAATGTCTATTTTATAAAAAAAATAAACAAAAAATGTTTTATTGTCAGCGTACCTTTTAAATAAATGAAGTCCATGCACTGCTCATTCTGCACAAAAATATCAGTTCCTCCAAAGACACAAGTTGAGAAAAGGAGGCAAGAGAAGCAAAAAAAGCTGTTTCTAGCTGTACATCTCCAAAGCCTGTCTTTTCTTTCCATTTTAGAAAAGAGGGAATCCTTCTGTCTTGTAATTTAAAGTAAACCTTTCATCTCCAGTGTTGGTCTTCCTGTAGTATTATTTCCTGCTTCAATTGAAAATGAACTTTAGAAAACTATTTAAGTGTAGAAATATAGTCATCCATATTGACGTCAGAAAAGAGGAGAAAATAATAAATCTATCACTGCACTTGACCTTTTTACTGTATGGCTAGCTCACGGTCTCTAACTGTGCAGATGTGGAGTCATAAGACCAATGTCTGGGATCATGAGCGCCCCTTTCCATGAGGCAAGAAAACTGCCTGCTTCGCCTCGATTCTGTTCTTTGCTGTTTATGATCGCTCTTCAGCACACAAAACATGTTACACACACACTTGGTGACAAAAAACACTACATTGTATACATGTCTAAATTATGGGAAATCAGGTCACATATTAAATGTTTTTTAACCATTTCATTGGTGACATACAGACAAGAGGAACATGCCCTCATCAAATGGAAGCCAGCACAGTTAGCGAGCAGTTACACAATCCAAGGCTCAGCTTAACTCGCTGCTGCCTCACCAGCTGCACCTCCAAGCATTTGAATGGGAAAATGTGAAAATTCAGCAAATTTGAAGAAAAAATTATCAAAATTCGTTGTGCTAAATGAAAAATAAATACTTTATAGTACAAACCACTGGGTGAATATTACAAAATAAATAATCTTATATTCTAAGATATATTCTACCTTAGATCTAAGTCTGCCTCACCTGCCTCCCCTAACTGCACGTCATTGATCTCATGGTACTCTTTCACAGATGATAGTGGAAGCAGGCTCCAGGTCTTAATGCTGGATTTTCTTCACCTGGAATGGACTAGAACACCTGAAACCAGTCATTTGGAGGACAGATCCAACATAATATTTTATTATTAAAAGTAGTATATGTGCCATTGATCCAAGTCTGAATACAGCTCAGCATGTGTCAGGTGGAAATGCTACTGTAATTTACTTTGCAAAAGACACCATCTGTCAAAAATTATGTTTGTTGAACCCACCCTTCTCTGTCTCTGAGTGTGTGTGTGTTGGGGTGCGTGTGTGTGTGTGTGGTGTTTTTGAGACATTGTGTTGACCATTTTCCTAACCAATACCATGTTGTGGGACTGGATGCTCCTTAGGGGGCAAAAGCCTGGGCCCCATAACAAAAGGGGCTTTTTTGGTTAAGTTTAGGACGAGGGTCTGAGTTTAGGTCAGGTTTAGGGTTAGGTGTGTACTGGTAATGGTTGGAGTTTAGGGTAAGAGTCAGGTTTAGGTTGTAGAATTGATACAAAGTCAATTCAAAGTCCTTGTGAATATAGAAAGATGTGCGTGAACCCACCCTTCTCTGTGCACGTGTACATGTGTGTTTTGTGTGTGTGTATATGATTACGCGTTTCATTTAAATTATGTGGAGGGGGGAAACTTCCTGTCATTCCACTTATGTCCTGAAAGTCAATGCCTGGTCAGCTTATTCAACAGGAAGTCCTCCTGTCTGGCTTTTCCTTTCTCTCTTGTTGTATGCTGGCACCTGAACAAGACACAGCTCCAAATGGCCACACGATGTCACATCCTGTGCTAAAGGCCTAGGTTTTCCTGTAGCTTGTTGCATCAGGGTTAAGAATATAAGCTCAGAGGAACTCATCCCTCTGTTTGTGCATGTAGCTCTGGAGTTTCCCCTGCTATTCTCTCAGGAAACATGTTATTATTTTAAGAGTAGTATGTAATATGAATAGCAGAGTTATTAGAAAAGCCACATACCTGCCAGAATATAAGAAGGATGTGTGTGTTCACAATTGAAGGAACTGTTCCTGAATATCAGCTTTGCTGGGACCTGATGGTGTGGGCTTCATGAGATGTGAAATTCTGAAGAAAATATTCCAGAAATCATAAATTGTGGCAAAAACCCACTTCTTGTATCAAGTACTTTTTTTTATACATTCAAAAATTGAGTTTAGTTTTTTCAGTTTTGGGAAAATACTACTGTGGAAGGGACAAAATTCAGTTTTCTATCTGAGAAGTGTTCTCCTGGCATCTGCAAAACTAGGAACCTTAGCATTTAATAATATTAGCAGCTGTTTAACACAGGACCATGAAGCTGCTAGGACACGATCATGGAGTCTTCATCTTGTACATGCACTCATTCAGAGTTTTCTTCTTTGTTCCATGTTTTTGGTCTATTCCCTTTTACATATTCTGGATTTCTGATCATAACCTTAAATTAGAGCTGACAGATATAAACTTAAAAGTTTTAGGATGTTATTTTCTAATAATATTGTAATAACAATAAAAGTGACAAAGTCTATGTATTACATATCTTTTTAGCTAATTGTAGGACTGTGAGTGCATGACACAGCAATCACAACCTCACAAGCACATAAGTTACTCCTGAAAAACATTCTCATTTGAAACATGTTTCTTCAGGACACCAATCACATAAATAAGTGTTATTTGTGTCACTGAGCTGCACAGTAACTGCATTTAATCAAATTGATTCCCTTATTGAACAAATAGAAGACAATAGTAAAATAAAAAATCTTGCAGTTTTGACCAGTCATTACAACTTTTCATAAAATCTGACCAATCACCATAATGTTTTCTTTACTTCAATCTTTTCTGATCAATCACTGCAACTTGGCGAAAGTTCTACTAATCCCTTCGGCTCCTTCAAATGTAACTTCCCGTTTCATTGTGTCTCTTCAAAACTCAACCTGTGAGATGAAAGCATGTCAAATTTTACTTCTGGAAAAAGCAAAAACTAACTTTTTTTTTCTTTTACATTTTGACAACTCCTCAAGATATGCTTTTATTTAAATTAAGGTGCTATTTCTAGAAGACACTTGAAAATGTTACCTGCATTTTAAATATTAACTATTTTAAATTGTTTGGGGGAATAACAGGGATAATGTGCAGTAATTTCAACTTTTCTTTAAGACCATATTATGGCAAACATAAAGCTTAAAAAATCACAACTTTGACTGCAGCTTTTACATAGAGGTGCTGCAAAATCTGCACTTTTAGGCTGCAACAATCTCAAACACATTGTGACATCCTGGAGGAAATGATAAAGTTCTGCTGGTGGGTTCGAATCCACTGCTGCTAATAGAACCACTGTTCCAAACTGTAAGGGTTCCAACATATTTACTCTCTCAGTGCTGGAGCCTTGGCTGAGCCAACAATATACATAAGTGGGACAGAGCTGTTAGTCAAAGTCAATGCTTGGCAGTGATTTACATGTTGGCAGAATCTGACCTAGATGTTAGTTACTGGAGCTGGAGCCTGGTGTGGGTTTGGTTCCTAGTTGACAGTTTTGTTACTGCATCACTTAAACGATACAAATTGATGCCTTTTCTGGTACTGATTTCTACCACTTCAGAGTTTTTCTTGCATATTTTGAATGGAAAGTGGCATTTGTAAATGCAGTTGTGGAGAAAAGGTAACAGCTTACCATGTTAAGCACTCACAGTTTCCCTTTCATTCACCAGTGGAGCGTCTTTACATCACCTGCATGTTACAAGCCTAGAAGAGGAATGAATCAGTGCAGTCCCTCACTCATGAGGCAGGATTTTCCTGCTGAATAGCAAACAGGGCTTTGGGATAAACCCACATGATTTACACAGCTGCTGGAAATTTCCTTTAAAGGAGGCAAGCTGGCTGCGAAGTGAGGCTCAGTCTGCAGGCAGCTCTCTGAGGCGACTCCTCCTCCTGCAGGATACAAAGTGATGGGAGAAACTCAAAAACGGTCTTCATATAAAAACCGCAAGTAATAAACTGACGGGGGTCAGCTGGTTGCTTGGAGGGCTATAAAAATGGTTCTGCTTCTTAAGCAGTTTTTCTGTTTTATTATTTTGTTAAATATTTCAGATCAACAAACAGATGTTAATATCAAAGAAAGCTAAAATCAGTTTTAAGATATTATTTAGGGTTTATCATTTTTAACAAAACATATCCATATTAAACTGACCCTACCAGAAGAAGTCATTAACATTTCATAAATATACCACCTCAATGTTGGAGGACGTCTTGTATTTTTGATGCAAAAGTCAGACTTTATAATATTAGTGAAAATCTCAGTTGTGTATTTATGCCTATAGTCATTGAAAATGATATTTTTTTTCACTTTAAATTTTTTAACTTTTCACCGTCAGAGAATATTACATTTCTTGTAAAAATATTAAATTAATTTTGAGCTTTTATTTCTTTCTTTTTTTGCATACAGTAGTCCAAATATGCTGTCATAATATTGATGATCAGAATACCTCTTTTGGCAGTAGTTGATATTGAGTTAGAGTTTCTAGACTTTGATTGGTTCAGATCAAACCAATGGCTGTTTGTTTTTTCCAATGGAGGTAAAACAGTGAGGTAATATAAAGATGTTGCAATAAATAATAAATCAATTACTCACATGATAAATGAAAATTATCGACCTTGTTTTAATTTATCTCCTTTATTGTTTCCTCCTGGCTTTTTCTCTTTCCATTGATGGCACTGGATGAAAACAGGCTTTACTCCAGTTCTCTCCACTGACCCCTCGATTACAAATTGTCTTACTGTAAGGGAGGAGTGAATTGTTGCAACTGGTAGTCAAATGTGACCATCTTCTCCATCTACATGTACTAATTTTTAAAGGACAGTATGGTATGCAGACTTCATAATCTATACTCTGTTGGTTGAAATTTCATTTCTACTTTGGTTTCATGTTGTGTTTAGTTTTAATTCAAGTGCATCTTTTGTTAACAGAGACTGAGGGACCTTTTTGTTTTTGGTTTTGTTAATTTTGTTGACCAGTTCCAGTGTTAAGTGTCCTTTTGAAAGTAAGGTGCATTTATTTTTGGCAGGATGTGCCACATTATTTAAAACTGTCTTCAAACAATATTGTTATTTATTGCAATAATTTTTGAGAACATTTTTTGAGACAATTATTGCAATAATTGCAAACTTAGTTATTGTGACAAGCTTAGTCAGAGCTCAATGAAACTAACCTCTTCACATCTATCTCATCTCTGCTGCATGAAGACTCACTGGGAACTTCACTTGTATGATTGTTAGAACCAAACATTGTCAAAAGCTTGGTTTCCTTTAACCATAGAATTATGAGAATTGAAATTAAAAATATAAAACTACTTTTTTAAAACATGGCAGTTAGCTTTTTGCTAAGTTTTTACAGTAGGATGAGGTGGTTTTTCAGCCGTATCAAAAAGAAGTATTTCACAATACTGCAATGGAAAAAAAAAATTTTCACACAAGTCACATGATCAACACCAGGATGTCACTATTATCAGAAACAACATAGATGACAGAAAGTAGTATTAGAATGATGGATTTTTTCATAAAAAGTTGCACGTTATTCCATCATGTTGAATTTACAGCTTTTCTGTAAAATCATCAACTACAATTTCCCCAAAACATAGCTGCTCCCAACTATAAGAGGCTTGTTGCTCCAACCCCTGAATAAAACGCCGATGTCTCCTCTGATTGGCTGATTGATGATGAATTATGAATATATCTGAAGTAACTGTTTACATCCGTCGCTGCCATGGGTTTAATAACTTATATGAACAAGCTTATTCATATGTGATTTTAATCAGATTTCGTATTTAATGGAAGCACCGCAATTAGTCGGCTAATGTTGATGACTGCCCTTTCTGGAAAGTCTTTCTAACTCTGGACTGGTTAGAGAAAGATTCCTTTGTTTCTTTTTGTCATCTTCCTATTTATTTTCACTGTTTAAGGGGTGTTGATGGGTGAGCTGTGGCCCTTGTTGGCCTCAGACTGACCACTTATAAAGGTCAGCAGCAGCCTGTTGGCTCCCAGGCCAGAAAGCAGCCTGGCCTATGAGAAAGCAGGCCAGAAAGCAGAACAAAAGCTCACAGTAGAGCTTTTGTTCAGCAGCTTGCCCTGCGCTCCACCTCGGATGCCCTGCTGAGGCGATTGGCTTTCCACTGCCATGCTTTCCAGGTTTTATGTGTCACTGTGTTTATCTCCACTGCAGCTGCTCCAAAATATTATGCATCCAATCATACTCTGTCCCCTAACATTCTTCAGGACAGCTAACAGAGTGTCTCTGTGCGGCTGACTGCTCCCTCTCTCCGTGATTCTCCGACGAGATTGCTGAAAATAATTTGCTCACAGACAGCCATTCTATCCTGTCTGTCTTTTCCTCGCCTAATGTTATCAGTTGCTTATTTAAGAAGGAGAGGTGGGGTGGAGAGGAGTCATTTCCTGTGTGAATCTGAAACATGTGAAGAATGTCTGGCTGCAGAAGACTGCAGCACAAATGGAGATGATAAACATCTGCAGATTGTGTGTGGCCTGAAGAAGGCGATTAGAAACCTAGTAGAGCATTCTTCTGTTCCCTCCCAACTAAACCAGTCACTCTGTCCCTGTTCTTTGTCTTGCAGGAGAATCTGGCCTGGGGAAGTCCACTCTGATCAACTCGCTCTTTCTCACCGAACTGTACTCCCCAGAATACCCCGGTCCTTCCCACAGAATCAAAAAAACTGTCCAGGTAGAGATGCTCATGGGTGCTGCTGTCCACTTGTCTTGCCCACTGCAGAATTGTCGTTTTCTCCGTCTCTCTGGATTTATATTGTCATGATAATGAAACTTTTCAGTTTTATTGAATGTAGCTAAAGATTAATGTGGTTTACTTTACTCTGACACTAGACTGTATCTGTAGCCAACCTGGTTGCTATGGTAACAGCAAGGCACTTATCTATTGCAATAGACAAGATTGAGGCAATATTTTCCAATAGTATTTTCATTATGATTTTCTAATGTCCTGCAGTCCTACTGGGCAACATAATTAATAAGCTAAGAGCTTATTAATTACTGGAAATATTTGCATGGTTTCCAGTTTATAACCTGACTGTACTATATTGCTTCAGGCTTTCTTCTACAAAAAACGTTATTGTTTGTGCTTTCTCATCGAAGCTTTCCCATCAAAAATCTGAATATCATTTCTGGACACAAAGTTCTGAAAAAAACTGACTGCATTAAAGAATAACTACAGCTATAAAAACAAGGAGACGCTTTGTGTGATCTCTGCATGATTATTGTCAGGACCAGGCCATTTAATCTCATATGTGGCCATGATTGAAGTCTAAAGTTTGGAACTTACCCACCCAGATATGTTGTCATTTGAGCTGCACATAAGTGTCACATGTGTCTTTTGATTGGGTTCTGAAATAAATCTATTGCCAAACCAACATATTTATTGGAAAATGAATAAGACATTTGTTGCAAAAGTTAGAAGCTAACTGTTGATCTTAATTTTTATTTTTTTTAGCATCAGATTATTGATCAGAAACAGATTCAGATGAGAAAAATATAAATTAATATCTGTGGCTAACATGGTTTTACAGTAACATGGAGTCTTACACAAATATTTAAAAAATACAGTTAATATTCATATAAACTTTTAATAAAGGGTATTTTCTGTTTGACATTAATTGTGATTACACATTTCATTTTCAGATTAGTTAGAATTACTAAATGCTTTCCATTGTTTTGTTTTTTTATCACTTCCTATAGATTCTTGGTTTTTGATAAAATTCCCTTCAAACTGTTTGACTTAGGTCACGTTTATTGGTTTCCTTCCACAAACATCTTCCAATAGTTTGCTGGAATTTTGTCCCCTTCCTCCTGACAGAACAAGTCAGCAGTCCCCACACCTTGACACAATTTTATGTAATCCAGAGATCAGGATTTTGTGACATTCTTTCTAAAACATGGACTTTACTGTGCATAAGCCCCTCACTAAGTGATCTTGCACGATGCTGAGCGCGGTGTCCATTTGGACGACCCATTTGGGTCCACACTTTAACTTTCTTGGTGATGCCTTGAAATGATTTTTCCAACCCCACTCCAACTTTTTTGTACACTGAACCACTCCCTCATGCAGTTTAGCATAACTACAACATGATACTGCCATCTCCATATTTCTCTTTTGGAGTGATCTCAGGCTGCAAACTATCCCTTTTTTCTTCAGACATAACAATTGTTATGGCCAAAATGTTTCATTCTGGTGTCATTAGACTCCAAGGCGAATCTCCAAAATAAACCTATTTGTGTCTCAATGCAGTTGAGAATTTTTCCTTGTAAAGAGCTAAAATAGAACAACTTTCATTTGTCTGCAGGACACCACAGGAAGTTCTAGGGGCAGCCTGCGCTCCATTGCTTGCCATCAAGCTAAATGGAGATTGTGCAGACCAGTGCCAATCGGTGGCTTCAATAATGGCTCTACTACAATGAATGAGACACAACACAAACACTACAGGGTCTTGCTGCGCTTCTCTGCAGCTTGACTGAACTTATAGATGAACTTGAGGTGTGCGCAGTTTTATTTTCAGTCTGTGAATGTAGTTCAACAGGAAAGTTGTATAAGGATTTCAACTTAAGGATTCTTAAAATTAGAACCGCAGATACCGCTGTACTTGTGGAGGAATGCATTTCTCCTGCTGATATCTTGACTGACCAGGGATTTTATGAATAACTTTATCTGATAGCAGCGATATAACTTTGCCAGGTTATCAGAGAACAGTTATCTACAGGATAAAGGAAGGTTGGATGTAATAGCTGGTTTTGGTTGATGTTTCTCTGCAATTAGAGCCACTGCTGCATTGATAGTAGATCTGTTTCATGTCAGTGTGTGTTGGGCCTCAAACCAAACAAGCTCCTGCCATGATAAGTATATTCTACTGAAGTATATTGTACTACCCTGAGCCAGGAGGTTCCTGTTAGGCTCCATGAAGGCCTGGATTAAATCCTATTTATTCGCCTCATTCCTCAAAGTGACAAAGGTCCTTCATACTTTTATATTTCTCATGACTTCCTTTAAACATCATCTTCAAAACAGTGATCAAAGCGACATCTTCTTCCTGTATGTGCTACACACACAAAGTATGACAGAAACATCATTAGTGAGTTTAACTTGATAGGTCAAAGCCTCAGAAGAAAACACAATGAACCCAGAAAACTGTTGTATCTGCTGCCACATCCAACACGTGGTTTGTTCAAATTCTCACTCACTGTTTCTGTTTGATCGATGAGAGAAAGAACCCCTCAGAAATTTTAATTCAATTTCTCCCACGTCCTCTGGTATATATTTAAAAGTAAAACACTGAAGTTGTCCTGATGATTCTAAATGTCTGAGTTAGTGTTTTCACGTGAATCTTAAGGCGTTGCTTCTGCTTGTGGTGGCAGATGGAGAGGGATCACAAACAGCCCACACCTCTAGCTTGAACTGCAGCTTCCTGTTGAAGGAGAACAAATTAAGCATTTGGTGTAGAGAAGGGGGGGAATCTCACCCTTCTCTGTTCATTCTGATCTTCTACTTTACTCTAAATCTGTGCTAATTCCTGGCAGCATACTGAGGGTCTCCGTCTATTCTCAACCCACTGCTGCTTCCCTGAGATCTTAAAGGAGATTTAGGATATGTGTGTGTATATGTGTTCCCATAGACTTTATGCTTCAGGTAATTCGCAGTAAGTGAAGATACTGGTAGATCACTGAGATGATTATAACAGAGAACAGACAGCTCTTGTTCTTCAGCTCTCCAGGAACCACAGACTGACGATTTGGACACATTTGTGGTTCCTTTAATGGCAAAGGGTGTCAGAATGTGATGACACTGTAAGGAAAGCTGTTTGTCATATAATCCAGTTGAGTATGTTGGGGTGTTAGCTGGACGTGAGAAAGCCTGGAGGGGTGTCCTTGTAGTTCCTGGCTAATTTGAGTGCATGAGGCAGGGACTTGGTGATTAGCTAACAAGCTAATCACACATTGAACAATCTAAGCACATTCTTGTCCCATTGACGCACAAACACAACCTGGGTTCTAGTTCAGGAACTAGTTTGCTGAAGACTTAGTTTCATTTAGCTCAGGACAAGCATGTACAGGTGTGTCACATAGGGGCGGAATCTTGCAATTAGATTTTTTTAGGGCAAATCTGAGTCTGAACTTTCACATGTGCTAATTATTTATTGTGTATTTTGAAATGTAATTGATTTAACACTGTCAATACCACCTATTTGTATGTATATTGCATACATTTCTTACATTGTTTGCACTGTTGTGGAGCTGGCTTTAATCTCGTTGTACATGTGTACAGTGACAAACATTAAATTCTAATTCTGACCCGACTGGCTGCATCTCATCTCTCACTCAGAAGTTTCCTGTTGAAAAGCAGCATGAGAGATGCTGAGGTCATCTTTAGATCTGCTGATTGAATAAAAGTTGATTTGCTGATCACAAGTTGTGTCTTGACCCCACACTGGTCTGCTAATCAAAGCCCACTCTACACCCCACCCCCCACCCCCAACCTTATTGATGCCTTCTTTGTTCTCTTGGTTCTTCCTCGCCAAACAAACATGATCTGTGCTGCTCTTACTTGTTATGCTGTGGGTTCTTCCATTGCTTTATGGGAACTTCCATGTTGTGACTGCTCTGTTTGTTTTTCCCCAGTTTTCCTCAGCAGTCTTTCTAAATGAGACTTTAACCCACACTAATCCCATTTTCTAAACTTGTTCTCATTGATGACAGGTGGAGCAGTCCCAGGTTCTGATAAAGGAAGGAGGGGTCCACCTTCTGCTGACCATCGTTGATACTCCTGGCTTTGGGGATGCCGTGGATAATAGTGACTGGTGAGCTCATCTATATGTTACTATTGATGGCTGCAAAAATGCTTAATCTTTGCCCCATTTTATCTGGTTCTAGCCACAAACGTTTGTGTATTTTATTTTAATGTTCTGTGATAAAATGTGAACATAAATGTGAAGTGGAAAAAAATTTGATTTTCAACATTTTCTTTTACTAAAAAAACATCTGAAAAAGAGTGTGGTGCATGTTTGCATCAATAAAATCCACTGGAAGGAAGAACTGCTATTTGGAGGTCAGTAGTAGTCATGTAGAGGGACATAGCAAATAAATGACTGGTGCTGGTGAATACACTGCACATTACTGATTCTATATCCTCATGGTGAAACATGGTGGCAGCATCATCATGGGGAAAAACTTTTCTTCACCAGAGAAACTGGTCAGACTTTCTGGAAAATTGGATTCAGCAAATTTTGGAAAGAAACTTTGTAATCAGACAAGGAGCTTCAGCTCCCAGTATGACAGTGACAGTAAACATCCCACCATAACTATCATCAGGTAGTAAAGAACAGAATGGCCAAGAGTTGAATTCTACAAGCAGACAGGCTCTCCATCTGACCCAGCTGGTGGTTTATAAAAGACAGAGGACGGAAGTTTATGTTGAAAGCTGCTTGCCATGTGAAACCTGCTTCTAAACAGTATTCATTCAGGGAGGAGGAACACAAATACACACCACATTCAGTCAGTACAAAAGTCTGGAAACCATGCATAATTTTCCTTTTACTTCACAATTCTTGAATCCTTTGTGGTGGTTTGCTACATGACATCCCAATAAAATACATTGAAGCTTGGCAAGTTTATAGATGTTAGACTGTAGAGCAGAATGTCAGACATCCATCATTTTTTTTGCGCTGATATTTAACCTTAAATTTTAAACACCTCTGCCCTCTCCAGCTGGCAGCCGGTGACCGACTACATCGACAATAAGTTTGAAGACTTCCTCAACTCAGAGTCGCGGGTCAACAGGCGGCTGATGCCGGACAGCAGAGTGCACTGCTGCCTGTACTTCATCGCTCCGTCTGGTCATGGGTGAGTGCTGCTGGGTAGTTTCTGGTTGTGACTGCTAACAGGATGCTCTGTGTGTTTACACTGCCAACCTCCAGTCCTGCCTGCTGGCTAAGCGGCTGGAATAATATTGGTGTAATCTGCCCTGAGCTCACTGACCTGGAGACCTCGTTCCTTTCATCTGCTGCTGCTGCTGCCAAACTTCCTCACACACACACAGACACACACCAGGCCACATAGGACTCCTTAACCAGAAGAGGGTTTTGTTTTTGATGCTTGTTGAGCCTGTTGGCCCACAGTGACCTGATATGCTGGAATGTGTCCACCTCTGAGGTCCGCCACCATATGGGCTGAGTTTATTTGTAGCATCTGCTTCTGAATGGGGAGTCTGGGTTTCTGCTCCATAGACTATCAAAACAACAACTTTTATAGGCTGGGATTGTGTCCTAAACATGTTGATAAAAATTCTGATTCAGATATTATTGGCCTTCTATTGTAATAAGTTTGTGTGTAATGGTCCTAGTCAGGAGCCTGATTTGGCGCAATTTGTTATCTGTAGTTTTAGCACTCCCACTAGTCGAGCAAACTGACAGCTGCACATGGGCTCCTTAAATCTGTCACACCAAACAGATCAACATTACTGCTGCTTACTGAAACCTTGTGACTTGCTGCTGTCTCCAGGTTGAAGCCGCTAGACATTGAATTCATGAAGCGGTTACATGAAAAAGTCAACGTCATTCCTCTCATCGCCAAAGCTGACACAATGACTCCAGAAGAGTGTCAACAGTTCAAAAAACAGGTGTGTGTTTACCGTCTGCCTGCAGCTGCACTCAGCCTCCTCTTCTGTTCTACAGTTTTACCGAGTTCATTTGATCCACTGCTGTTTCTCTTTACTAGTTTCCTTTGAATCACGAAGGCGTCCTCAGGCTGTCCCTCCCAACACTGACATTGTTTTTTGATCCACTAAAAAGAAACATGTTTAGTGTTCTAAATATGTTCTTAACCCAACAAATACACCTTAAACCTATTGCTTAAATACTAATTTAAATAATTGCATAGATTATTACTGCTCTGTTTTGGGCCTATATTTGCCCAAAACTGAGTAGTTTTGGGCAAATATATAAAACAAAGCTTTGGAGTACTTTCTTGGGAACTTGCATTGCATAGCTGAGAGCAATAGGTAGAATGTGAGGAGCGCTTACACAAGGATGATTGACATCACTTGTTACTGACTGGTGTATTTCTTCAGATGGCAGTAGGAGCTCAGAGAGGAGGCAGAGATGATCTGCCTCATTTTATACTGTCAAGACATAGTGATAGTTTTGGCAAATATGTAAAAAAAAAAAAGACCTACATCAGAATTACATCCTGCAGCTTTAATAGGAAACTTCTACCTCTTCATCATACCTGGATACTGGTACAATCCACACAGTTTCATGTTCATTAAAGAAACCACAACATTTGAATTCTCAGTCACCGTGATTCTAGCTGTGACTTCAGGACTCAGAGTTCATAGCTTCCTGTTGATTTCTCTGTTCTGCCATGGTTGATAGTATTTTTTGCTCCACCTACTTTTTTTCCCTTTAACTCACATTTGTCATGTTTGATGTTTTTAAATTAATGCCTCATCCAAACTGTCCTGATTATACTGTATTAAAGAAATAGACCTAGTTATTTTTTGATAAATATGGAGGAAGATTATTTTCCCGTTGATGCTGTAAAGTGTTTGTGATTCTGCATCAGCCTGCAGAATTTTCTCTGCACTCTAATAAACATCTCCAGATCAATAATTTGTTACATTACAGTTCATATTAATTTTCTTTGTTCATTTGGAGATGTTTCTGACTCCATCATTTTAGTTTAATAAATTAAAATCAATTTATTACATAACATATCTTTATTATGTAGCCTCATAGACTACATACGGGTTTATGTTTTTTAATGACACTGATAACAGCTGGACTAACACTGCTTTATGCTTTACAATGTCAGAGTATCTCAAAAGAGCAACCTGGCTGATGATCTGCCCCCCTCCTGTGTATTGACCCCCTTCAGCTGTAACTATTGATGTTTCTGGGTGTTTGTCTTACATCCCACATCCCTCTGTTCCTGTGCTGCATGCAGATCATGAAAGAAATCCATGAGCATAAAATCAAAATGTACGACTTCCCAGAGACGGACAACGAGGAAGAGATGAAAATTATAAGAAAAATCAAGGTCAGCTCCCCCTTGACGTACCTTTGTGAAATTTGAAATGGTTTCAGATGCATGTTTCTGGTCATGCATCTGAAACAGTGGTCTAGTGGTGGTCCATGCACTGTGTAACCGGCGTCCTCTCCCTCCTGTCTGCAGGATCGTTTGCCTCTCGCTGTAGTTGGCAGCAACACAATCATCGAGGTCAACGGGAAGCGGGTCCGGGGCAGGCAGTACCCCTGGGGCGTGGCTGAAGGTGAGAGCTATTAGCTCATCAATAGCAGCCAGTGGGATGTCCCACTCATGAACACCTCACAGTTTCCATGCATGTTGAGCTGCTGACACACTGGAAAATAGAATATTAGAAAAAAGTTCATTTACTTCAGTAGCTTATCACTAAGAGAAACGCATCATGTAGATTATTTCACACATGCAAATTCTTTTTCTGATGCACATTGTCAACTTCCTAAAATAATGGACTCCCTATTTTTTTTGCCAAAAGCTATTTTTGGCAAAGAAATCCCCCCTTTTTATTGCCAAAAGATGATTTATGCGAAAAGATCAAGGCCATTATTTTAGGAATATGTGAATGAAATGTATTGAAATGTGTGGTTATATGTGACAGTCATGTAGTGTGAATATTATTGAAATGCAATTTGAATGTTGTAAGTTCCCAACATCAGCTTGTTTCGTTTTTGATGACAAGGTGACCAACTTGTAGCAAATTAAGGCATATAAAGTTCATATGCCTTAACTCTGACCTTTTAGAAATACATTTCTGTTAATAGCTCAAGTGAAGAAATGCTTCGTCAGAATAAAAGATTGTGAGTCTGAGGCAGGCAGCAGGACACACTACAGATTTCATTTGCTCAGAGGATGTGAAAGTCTCACGCTATTTGACGTGACACAGGAAGCTGCCGTGGCTCTGTGGGAAGACCTGTCGAACATCTGCAGCATACAGAACAGCAGATGACTGAAGCAGTAAACTCAAGTCAATCATCATAAAGAATCTACTTGGATCAATATGGGACAAACCAAACTGAAGAACTGAAAACAACACAACCAAGTTGTAGGCGTGCTGCTATGAAACTGGTTTTGGGCGAGGGTTGGCCGTCCTCTGGGAGGGAGATCTGGAATACCAAAAATGTTTTTGGAAACATGTCAGCATGAATATAAAAAGCAGGCGGGAAGAGAGCGAGACAGAGGGCAAGGTCCCTGAGAAGCTATGCAAGTCACTCTACCACAGAGAAACCTCAGAGGACTGTGATGAGCTTCACTGTGGAGGAACGCATGGGATGCCACTCTGTGGCATGTTACGGTACTGCAGCAAGCAGACACGTTTTTACCTTGCTTAGTTCCACACTGAGCTGCTGCCTGGTGCACATTTAGATGTAATGAACAATGATTTAGGTTTCAAGCAAAGTCTGAAACATGAGATCATTTTTCTTTTATCTGCAGTTGAAAATGGAGACCACTGTGATTTTACTATTCTCCGTAACATGCTGATAAGGTGAGTTAAAGCGCACATCTTTCTACAGCCTTTACAGCCTCAGAGCTCAGGACGCTCAGAACAGCCAGTTAAATCTCATTTAGAGCCACAAATTTTAGATGACTTCTATTTTTAGGCTTTAAAATAAAGATCAAGAGAACTAAAACTTAAGCTTGTTGTTATATCTAAAATTAAAAATATTAGCTGGTTCTTCTTAAATTTTTGCCAAAGTTATTAAGAACCATTGTTGCAGGTTGCTGACCCCTGGTTTACATGAACTCATTTGCTTGACATTACAGATTACCAAACAAAAAGTTTTGTTGATTCATTCCATAGAGAAGGTAACAGACTTTTTCTTGGTTTCAGGACTCATATGCAGGACCTGAAGGATGTCACTAACAACGTCCACTATGAGAACTACCGCAGCAGGAAGCTGGCTGCTGTCACCTATAATGGTGTTGACAACAATAAGAACAAGGGCCAGCTAACCAAGTGAGTTTACCGCACCAACCTCTTACAGGTCACATTAATGAAGAAAAGGCTCCTAGAATTAGCTTAGCGGCCCAGCTGGAGGTTCTGGGAGCTGATTGCTCCCAGTTTGACCCTGAAGTTCTGTATAGACCATAGGTTGACTAAAGCTTCACTGGTTCCTTATCCAAACGAGTGAGCACTAACTCCCACTAACTGGTCATCAGCTGGATTTAATCCAACTCTCACTGAGGCACCATCTGACTGCTAAACCAATAGCTCCATCTGTCTCTGTCCATCAGCATACTGTCACAAAGTAATGCATGATTTTTGGCAGCATGCTAAGTGTCTGTGCATTTCTTTCTTTCTTTGTTTTTAGACCTGACACACCTGATGGCATGTAAGTTACCTCACTTTGTCACTCCCTTGTGAAAAGGCTCTAGCTTTGCCTCTCCCTGACACCTGTCTGTTTTCAGCTGCAATGCTTTTAGTCTGTTTGCTCTCTGTGAAATCTGGAGGTTTTATCAGGGAATGCTAAGTTCTTACTGGCTAGAGGAATTGGGTGAATACAATATGAGATGAACATGAAACCTAACATGCTTGTTTTCTAAAAACTGAAGAAACTTAGGGTTCATTCTCACCAGCCGTTTATCCCACTTTAATTCCAACTGCAGTTTGTCTGTCTACAACAGAGGTGTCAAACTCCAGTCCTCAAGGGCCACCTTTAGATGTGCCTCTGCTGCACCACACCTGAAAAAATTAATTAGGACACGTTGAAGGCACTATGTCTCTCGGCTAGCCTGGGAACACCTTGGTTCCCCCGGAAGAGCTGGAAGAAGTGGCTGGGGAGAGGGAAGTCTGGGCCTCCCTTCTGAAGCAGCTGCCCCCATTACCCGACCCCAGATAAGCAGAAGAAAACGGACGGACGGACGGACGGACGGACGGACGGACGGACGGACGGACGGACGGACTGTGGAGAACTTATCTACACAAGGAGACAATTAAGCCATTCCATCCCAGTGTTTTGTACCTGTGGGACATCTAAAACCTGCAGGACATCGGCTCTTTAGGGCTGGAGTTTGACACTGTGGTCTACAAAGTCCAGTTAGTTTGGGGAGATATGAATGTGTAATAGAGCTCTTATGTGAACCAAAAGCAGGAACCAAACAATCGCACAGGGCATTCTGGGTGAAACCAACCAAAAGAAACCATTTGTGGTGCTAGCTGGAGAAATGGCTCATGGTCTTTGACCAAGGACAAGAAAAATCCTCCAATCGGTGAAATCTGATCCCGCTGCATTTTTACATGTATTACATGAAGAAGAAATCTGTGCTCATGTCTTCTTCAGATGTTTTTGTTTTGTTTCTTTTAGTGGTTCTTGGTGCAGCACAACCACAGTCGAGGAAGGGATCATGTTGCTCAAAGACTTTGGTTTGTTTGACACAGGATGGTGAGAAATAGAACCACAGCAGCTGGAAATGAAACAAGTGTTGTAACTTTGGTCCCAAATGGAGACCAAAGTTACAACAGAGATCGGCATAGGTTATCTCTGCTGGTTTTAAAGTACTAGCTTGAGGTCCTGATCAAACTAAGCTAGGCTTGGTGACTGTTTGCTGTCTGGAACACAGAGATAGATGTCAACAGAAAACCAGGGAGTAAAGACATTAGCAGAAATGTGCTATGAGAAAACATTGTTGTTGCTCATCATGATGACATCATATCCAAGTTCATTTGAAGTTCATTATGCTGCAAGGAGAAAGATTATTCAGAAGAGGAAAACATTCAAGACATTTCCAGTCTTCCCAGAGACAGACATTAAACAGAGAAAACCCAAATCTCCATCTGTCACACTTCACATGGCAATTAATGTTAAAAAATTCAAGAACAGGTATGTCTGCTTTGGAAGAGGTTTCTGCAAATCAGACTTTGGACTTGTTGGAATTTTGAGGATAAGGTTTTTTGGTGACCAAAGTGAAGATGTTAAGTCACAATACACAGTATGACATTTTAATCGCAGTATATCAGTATAAGTACCTATTGCCAATTGTCAACTGTCAACTGGGCTTGGGGTTGTGATGATCCAGCTACAAACTCTATTGTAAACTTCAGTCTTCTAGATTGAAACGTGAGGCCAGTTCTCCTACAGCTAAGGATTGGTCCAGCCTGATTTATAAGACCTTCCAGGAAACAACCGGTTATCTGAAGCAGAGCATCTGGAGAATAACTGACTGAACTGATGGAAGACATCTGTGCGTTAAAATGTCAGTGAGCAATAAGAGGCCTGAGCAGAACAAGTTACTGCTGCTGTATGTGGATTTACAAGCTGCAGGGAGTAGACATGCTGGTTTCACTCACAACCTTGGTTTGTCTTCACACATCCTGTTATTACTGTTCATCCCACCTTGCATTTACCTTACTCCTAAACCATTCACTGTTGGACATAGATGAATATTTTTGTCTGGAATCAGTAAAATCTTTATAAATGCTAAAACATTCAGCTGTGTAAGCTAGCTTTGAGCCAGCTCACAGGCCTAGCTGGTGAGCTTTTAGATTCACCAGGTAGGCCTGGTCATGATGACACTTGACTGGATGATAAATTGTCCCAGAAATTATGCTGTTAAACCATATTGTCATCTTTTTGACCATTTTCAACTAATTAGTTATAATAATGGAAAATCAATTATTCCATTATTAATGGAATAATTATGGATGTTCTGAAAAAGAACATCCATTTGTAAAATAATTTAACAGTGGAACTAGAAAACATTTGAAATATTCAAAATAAATCAACAAAATAACCAAAACAACATTAGCTAATACGGATCATTAGTTGTTATGTTTCAACAATATTAATCATTCAGCATAGGCAGGGAAAACAGGCAAGAACAAAAAACGAGCAAACTAACCACTTGGTTCTGGGTATCAAATTTTTGCAGTATTAAAGGGAAGCTTCTCTTTGAGCTCATCATTCATTTATCATGTGGTTAGTCTATTTCTTGCTTATCATGACACAAACGGATCATTTATAATCACCATTGTGCTTCAGATATGTAAATCCCCCCCTCAGCTCCCACTGAGCCTTCCAGGCAGACGTTAAAATGCTGATCGTTGTATTTTAGTATTTCTCAGAGATCTGGCCAGAAGTTAGGGGGAGCGTAGTTCATCTGGGTGACTGGCTGATTGTCAGCCTTATTCTGATATTCAGAATCATGAATATCAGTGAAGTGACATTAGCTTACATCCCTTCTGCTCAGAGGAAAACAAGGAGCAATTTTATCTGTCTGTCTCTGAAATTCTGACTTCAGGTTGGTTCGCTTCCTCTCTCTGTCAACTCTCTGAAAGCAGTCTGCTATACAAGGCTTCCAGTGACAACAGTCATCTAGTGCTTTCCCACCTTTTCTACGTCTACTGTTGGGAATTTGTCCTCTGGGAGGTGAGGAACCAGTGGGTGTCTGCTGTGTATTAGCCTGTGTCCATGTCTCTAGGAGCCCGCTAGCTCAAATGGAGGAGGAGCGACGCGAACATGTCGCCAAGATGAAGAAAATGGAGCTGGAAATGGAGCAAGTGTTTGACATGAAGGTCAAAGAGAAGGTGCAGAAGCTCCAAGACTCTGAAGCGGAGGTACATGGCTGAGGCAGGATTAAATCTGTTTGTTTCACTGAGCAGATCTCAGAATGGATTCTATTGTCTCTGCAGCTCCAGAAGCGTCATGAGCAGATGAAGAAAAATCTGCAAGCTCAGTACAAAGAGCTGGAAGAGAAGCGTCGTCAGTTTGAGGAGGAGGTGAACACCTGGGAGACCCACCAGAGGATCCTGGAGCAGCAGAAGCTCGAACTTAACAGGTAATGGAATATATATTTATATTCCATTACCTTCCATTAAAAAGTTTGTTTTTAAACGTTTATCCAGTTCAGAAACATTTTGAACTGGCTATATTTCTGAACATAGCCAGTTCAAAAAGGCATAGGAAGACGCCAAAGCTTATTAACCTTACACACAACTGTTAGTCAGACTTAAACTTTATTGTCACTAAGGTATCCCTTTGTGACAATAGTGACAATAAAACACTAAGGCCTACCTTAGTGCAACAGTAAATTTGGCAGCAAGAAGTTGTTGCTTGGCCACCAGATTTCACAGAAAAAATACAGAAAAACTGTAAGAGTGACTATAAATACAAATACATATACATAAGTATGGCTAGACAATTTATATTGAGCATATATTTTCTGATATATAGTTATTGATTTGTAACAATATGTATCTCAAATAACAATATGTATCACAAAAGACGCGATGAATATCAAGAGAAAATACATCTGGTAGAACGTTAAATAATTTTGCTGAAATCTGATCCAGAATCATACAGTATTCTGGGAAAGCTAGGCAGATTAAAGACTTCCAAGTCTTTAATCAGCTAGGTTGACCATATCAACTAACTTTCTCACTATTTGGTTCCCTAGCAACAACCTGTTGCGTAACCTGTTCAGGTTTTGCCACCGTGAATCAGAAATGCTTCAAAATATAAAAACAACAATCATGGACGAAAGGGAGAAAATTAGAACAGCTCCAGGGAAAACTAGATAAAACAGAAAAGATCACATCGCCAGTTCAGCAGGAGTTTAGATATTTAAAACAGAAATACTAGTCAACAATTATTTATTGATACTGACTGATATGAAATGTTTATATTGTGATATGTTTTTCAGCCATATCACCCTGCCCTATATACAACTATATACAGGTGCAGGTAAATAATTAAATAAATACAAATGCATAAAATAAAAATTCTACAATAAGCATTATACAAACAATAATATATGTGTGTGTGTGTGGGTGTGTGTGTGTGTGCGTGCGTGCGTGCGCGCGTGTGTGTTTGTGTATTTAGGAGGGACCAACAAAAATAATGATGAAAAATTAAGACTTTCAATAAAAATATTGCACTTAGCAATTTCAGACAGTCTGAGTGCAGATTATTGGTGTTGAGCAGCCATGTCTCATCCAGGATCTACATAGTGCGTTTCAGTCTAGAATGTAAAATATGGATTTACATTCTACATATATGTATATGCCCCTCCATATAAGTATTTATACATCGAGCTTTCCTTTCATGCCACAATGTCTGTTCTTTCAAAATAATGTCTGTACAATTAATTTATTCTATCTGTCACCTTGTTTCTGAGCCGGAGCGGTGCATTTCTGTAGAACCACAGGGAGGAGGAGATTGATTTTTTTCACAGATCCATGTCTTGTTGTAATGTCAGCACATGGTGACAGTTTAAACAAATACATTAAGAACTATATTTTTATACAAGTTACATACTGCAGCTTTAATGTTGTCTGATCCCTATAGCTATGCTCTCTCTTCATCAGGTTTTAGATCAGATGATTGATAAATGTGTTGAGTTGTAACTCTGCATTTCTGCTCTGGTTTCTGCAGGACCATTGACAAGGGCAAGAAGAAGAAGATCTTTTAATCTTTCTCTGGACCGTTGGTTCTAATCTGCCAAGCTGCCAATCTACTCCCACCTTTTGACCACCTTACTGTGTGACTATCAAGTGAAAGCCAGTGGGCAGCATAGTCTGAGTTTAACCTTAAATAACCCTCATTATCTCTTTTCTGGATCTATTTTGGGACACACAAATGTATGCAAAGAAGCATGAATACAGTTTTATCTTCCTGATTCAAACAGATGGAGTTCAGTCATTCTTTGCCCTTTGTTCTTCTGCTTTGGGAATATTTCATGCTGCACAATCTTTTCAAGCCGAAACGCAAGCAAAGGGTCAGCCCACCACTTCCTGTACACTCAAAGTGTGAAGCTGCAGTTAACATGAGCCACTGCTGCTTGAACTAAAACTGTAACCAAGTTTCAGTGTTTACTCATGATTGTTCATAATGTCTTCCCTTCTGTTCTTTCCTGTTGGCCTGTGTATAGAGATGGTGTTTAATGCAAGTGTTGTAGATGATGTTGCCCCTGGAAACCAAACAGACTCCTCAGTGGGCTCACGCAGAGCAGAACGAATCAGGAAAGGGCATTGTGCAGTCGGTGCTTAGATTAGACTTTTGGAGATTCTACAGATTTTGCATAAGAATATTTTCCAACAGAAACTTCCTTTGAAAGATGAAGCAGACAGTTTGTCCTGCTTCAGGTTGACAGTAAGCATCAGTTGGACTGCATCTATTTTTGTAATGTTATCTTTTAATGAACAAAGTCACAAAATAAAACTGTGATGTGGAAAATAGAGGATATTCATTGTAAGTCACAACATTTTAAAGAGTTTCATCGCACAATAACTTTCAATACAAATAGATTAGTGAGGAAAAAATTTTGTAGCCTTTAGTTAGCCAGCTGGCCAGAAGTGTGCAGTAACAGGTGGGGAAAGGGCAGCACTTTGTGCTTCTGGACACTTCACCACATTCTCTCATAAAAGTCACTTTAATCAGAAATACTGCAGTTTGGAAAGTGTCACTTGAAGCCAATGTTTTAACGTTGGCTTAAATTAAAGTGACTGCCAGCCCAGTGTACTGATGTAACGTATTGAGCTCATTTCACGTTAGCTTTGTGCTACAGGTTTGGAGTTGACTGCAGGAATTTAGCACAACAGTACAAGATGTTAGCAAATAAAATGTAGTTATTTTGTCTGGGTTCAAGGTCATCTTCAGTGTTAGTTTGGTTGAAGGTCGAGGTTTTCTGCACACAAACCAAAGAGCCAGTTGACACCAGAAAAACTTGTAAGCTGAGTTGTGCGGTGGCTCTATTTTGATGCATTGAAAATGCTTTTATTCACATATTTATTATCTACAGTTCATATAAAAAGTGTTTCATCCTTTGGATATTTTACCCTTTTATTGCTTTTACAAATGAATGTTTTTGGGGGGTTCTTTGACAAAAAAAACAACTTTTTTGTCAAAGGAAAAACTGACTTTTACTAAATTATGAAAAATAAAATAACCTAGTCAGTAGGTTATTGTATCAGTCAGCTGCAACCTTTTTAGTCAGTCAGCTGACTTTTTTTAGTTCACTGACTGAGTAAAAAACCTGTAAAGTTAGACCTTTTACAAGTTAAACTTTTTTAGGCAGATCTGTAAAGACACTGTTGCAGTAATCAATGTGACTAAAGATAAACACATCATGGATGGGTTTCTCTAGATCTTGATGGGACATTAGTCCTCTGATCCTGTTCTTCAGGTGATGGAAGGATGATCTTGTAAATGTCTTTGTGTCTCTGAAAGTTCAGGTCAGAGTTCATCACTACACCTAGATTTCAGCCTAATCTGTAGTTTCTATCTGTAAAACTGAAGCTGAGTGTTGACTGTTGATCTGGAGAAAGTTGTGGCACATCCACACATTTATCCGTTTTCAACATCTGTTCAATGATTGGATGACATCAGGGTCTTTGCACATTCATGTGGAAAACGCATGAAAAAGAGAAATGTAGAACTCATTCAGATCACAACAGATTTTTGATTGTTGGATTATCATGATGCTCCCGCAGGCCATGGTAGAAAGTCACATAATCTATATGAAAAATCCTCTCTGTTGTTAATGTTCTCTGTGACCAGAGCCGTTTCGCTGGCATCAAATAGAAAGATAAACAGATCAAATGCCACCAACCTTTAGGATATTGTGGCCTGAAAGCAAAACGTTTTACAGATTTCCCAGCAGGTGGCAGCATAACATTCCAAAACTATTTCTTGATAGTAAGAGATTGAACCTGTCCCTTAATGAGCCATATTTCTGTGTCTGAACTTTTATTGCTTTTACTGCAATTTTGTGGAGCAACGGCAATCCAACCTCCTCCAGACCCCCATTTCTATTGCCCTTTGACCAATCAAGCAGATGTCAGTCATGCTATTCATCCTAAAGGAAAGATTAAAGGTCTTATTAAAAGCACAATGTTCCAGTGGTCTCATCAGTGTATTTATTTTACTTTGTAGGGGTTCTAACAGGTAAACTAATGTCCTGGAAAGTAAAGTTTGTTGGTGTTCTTTGCGTTTCCCTGAAGTTTTCTGGAATCATTTGCAAAGTCGAAGGGAAAACTGCCAGGAGCCATAGGTAAACATAGAATGCTTCCACGGCAACAGCTTGAGTTAATGTAGAATTTATAGATTGATTCTTGTCACACAAGTGGTCTTTAATTAAATATTCCTACTTTCCTCTTTGGTATGAAGCAGTCAACACAGCTGAGATTCTTCATTAGTTTTAAGGTTAAAGAAGTCAATATTTGCCGTTACCTGGACTTCTGTCCTTGTATGGTGATAGTCATGTGATCTGACATCACATGACAATTTCAGAAGGAAAACCCAGACATTTATCCCAGTAGTACTCTAACACTTTCTGGCAGACCAGAATGACTTAAAATCTGTGAATTATCAGCACCACATTCAACCATCACCCCTATTATATGTGGAATGGTATGAAAATTATGAGAAGAAGTAGTTCTGGTTGCTTAAAACTGGAAGCAAGTCTAAATCTTGCTTTTCATGAATGCTGAGGGTGAGAGACAAAAAAGCTTTACCTCAGCGAAAGAAGTGAAAAATGCACAATCTGTGAATTCTCAGCACTACATTGAAATTTCTGCTTTATTAGCAATGGAACAGCATTAGAATGCTGAGAAGCAGTAGTTCTTGTTGATTGAAACAAGACTAAATGTGTTTCATGAGAGCTCAGGGTGAGAGAACAAAAAGGCTTTATCTTAGCAAAAGAAGTGAAAAATGGACAATCTGTGAATTCTCAGCACTACAATCAAATGTCCACCCTATTGGCTGTGGAGCAGCATAGACATGCTGAGAAGAAGTAGTTATGGTGGTTTGAAACTGGAACCAAGTCGAAATCTTGTGTTTCATGACAACTGAGGGGGAAGACACCAAAGAAGCTTTGTCTTAAGAAAAGCGGGGAAAATGGACAATCTGTGATATCTCAGCAGTACATTGAATTTCGAGGCTTATTATCTTTGAAAAAGTACAGAAATGCTGAGAAGCAGTAGTTCTGGTTGTTTGAAAATGGAACCAAGTCTAAATTTTGTGTTTCATGACAACTGAGGGTGAGTCATCGAAAGAAGTGAAAAATTGATAATCTGTGAATTCTCAGCACTACATTCAAATCTGCCTTATTAGCTGTGGAACAGCATCGAAATGCTGAGAAGCAGTAGTTCTGGTTGTTTCAAGCTGGAACAAAGTCTAAATCCTGTGTTTCGTGAATGCTGAGGGTGAGAGTCCAAAAAAGCTTTATCTCAGCGTAAGGGGGGGAATGGACAATCTGTGAATTCTCAGCACTACACTCAAATTTCTACCTTATTAGTTGTGGAACAGCATAAAAATGCTGAGAAGCAGTAGTTCTCGTTGATTGAAACTGGAATCAAGTCTAAATCTTGAGTTTCATGAGAGCTGAGAGTGGGAGACAAAAAAAAGCTTTATCTCAATGAAAGAAGTGAAATATGGACAAACTGTGAGTTTTCAGCACATTAAATTTTAAGACTTATTATTGTTGAAACAGCACATAAATGCTGATAAGCATTAGATGTAGATTCCAGATTCAAACAACCAGAACTAGTAGTGCTGAAAATTCACAGATTGTGCATTTTTAACTTCTTCACTGAGATCAAGCTTTTTTGCTATCTCATACTCCGCTTTCATAAAATACACCAGAACAACTTCAAATAACCATAACTACTGCTTCTCAGCATTTCTATGCTGTTTCAGAGATAAGTCTGAAAATTGAATCTTCCGTTTCCGGACCCGCCCCCTAATTATTCATTTTTATATTCATAACCTGCAATATTTGAAGTTCGACGATCTATTATCTCTGTCATTTCTGTCCAGTGAAACTATTCAACCTGCAGAGACTCAGACAGAGAAAGAAAGTGTTTAGAAAAGTTTATTGACGTGCATGAATTAAAATCCTTGGCTGAGGACATCGAGCTGTGTTTTGCGATAATTCCCGATGCTGATAGGAATGTCATCCCCGGGACCGACACTGGTGGTGGAGGTTGATGAAGGAAGGGTGCCTGGAGAGCCAGGAGAGTGGAGGTGGAGAAGGGGTGGAGGTGGGTTGAGCGCAGCGGCAAAGCAGAAGACATTATTGATGGAGGTCTTTAACAACTGGGGCTTGATTGGTGATTGGCCATGACGTGCTTGGTCCAGCGTTGATAGGTCGTCGATGAGCGGGGCACGCCGATTGGATGAAACAGGTGGGGCTAAGAGTTTTCCAGTTTGAATTTACGCCTGGGCTTCATGTCAATATATCTATATCAAGATATAATCAAAGTTTCTGTCCCATATTGGCATTGAAAGAATCTGGAATGTTGTTTTTTCCAATGAAAGCACTGGTTTGCACAGTAAATACAGTGTGGGTGAAATTTTATGAATGATACTCTGATGTCCCATTCTTCTGAAGGCAGCACAGAGCTGCACCGCCAGAATCTGACAGAACCACTGTTGATAAGAGTTATGATTATATAGTTGCAGTTCCTTTTGCGAATAGTTTGAACTTTAAACTGGCATTATTGTACATCTTTTATCTGATCATTTTGTGAAAGATTTAACAACTAAAGTGGCACAGAACATTAATATTTTTTTCCATTCTGATTGGCTGCTGATAGGCCTACTGATTTTAAGTTTGATGTTCATTGGATTTTTGCCTGTAAATCATCTACGAGGTTGTAGTAGGCGTGTGTGTGTGTGCGCGCGCGCGCGTGTGTGTATGTTTCAAAGTTCCATTGTGAAAGAGTAAGGCAACATTTTAAGGTGTTGAAGCAGGATATATAAATCATTTCATCTGTTGAGGACTTTCCAACACTGAGCAGAGGTGATAGGTGCTGATGATAAAGAATAAAATGGAGCATATTTTATCTGAACTGGTTGTTATGGTGATCCAATCAGAGAAAGAAGAAAACTGATCCAATTAATTTATAGATACAAATTGTATCAACGAGTCTGGTTCCATCCAACAGCTCTGAGCTGATTTCCTAATAGTTTTTTTTTTATCTTTGTATTATTTAACTTTTCTTTTAGCTACAATGTTAGTATTATAGTTCTTTTTGCAACCTGTGGCTCTTTGTACCCTCACTAGTGGCTCTTAATAACTTTTCATATTTTTAATTTTAGATATAATAAGAAATAATATCAGTTTTTTTAGTTTACTCCCAGAATATGGGCATTACATTTCCACAAAAATAATGACTCTAAAAGTACTAGTAATATTTCTTTAGATCTGAGTATCTTATCATTAGGTTTGAATCTTTGTGCTTTTTTATTATTTTACATACATTTTGGTTCCACAGAGTCTTTGTTTGATTCGATCTTAATTTCCTATTTTAAATCCAAAAATATAAATAAAACAGTGGTCCTTTTAAAATGACATAAAATTTTCTATTGTAGATAGTAAAATATAGTATAGTAAAATAATAAATTGTCTTTTTTCCAAAGGTTTTGTGAGAACATTCTTTGTGGAAATTAAATGCAAATATTACAGGAACAAAGCAAAAAACTAATAAATAATACCCTAAAATAATATCTTCATTATATAAAAATATGAACTGTTTCTCTTGTTATTCTTTTTAGCTCAATAATTTAGAGCCATCTAACCTCCTAACAAAACCCTGTTTCTGTTCATCTTACAGCTCATTTTAACGCACTCAGCTGGATAATATACACCACAGTTTTATTAGCTCACAGCTCGGTATGTAAATAATGTCCTAACCTGTAATAAAGTCATATCTAGATGCAATAAACAAAGTAAAATGTACATGTATGATAACACAACCCCATATCCACACACCCGACCCCGCCCCTCGTTCCCTCATTCCTCCTTCTTACACGTCACACCTGAAGCCACGCCTCCCACGTTAGCCGTCCCGGAAAAGAAGAAAACTTGGTTTCAAAATAAAAGCCTTATTAGAAGATTGTGTGAACTATAGATTTAATTCAATATGCACAGATTTGAACCGACCAGATGTGTGAAGTGTTTGGTGAAAGGCTCCCAGCTGTAGGGCTTCATGCAGCTGCTGCGGCTTTGGCTCTGAGGCAGATGCTGCTCCAGACCGGAAGCAGAGAGCGGCGTGATGCTGCAGTATTGATGCCAGGCTGCCAGTGTGTGTGTTTGTGTATGCGTGTGTGCGCGTGTGTGCGTGTGAGTGTGTGTGTGGAGGCTACTGCGTGTTGACACACAGGGCAAAGTTTACTGGCCACGCTGGATTTCACATCCATCTCTGCGTCAGGACGCGCAGACGAACTTCAGCAGTGCGCAGAGCGCAGAATGTAGCTGCAGTTTGTTGCGCACATTTTGCCCTCCTAGGTGCCCTCCTCCTGCTTCACTGTCCACTCTGCTACTCTCTGTATCGAGCCGTTGCCGGTAACCACCGGAAATAGCCGCCATGGGGGGGAGTTTGGGCTGCCACCGTTCCATCCCCAGGGACCCCACTGACCTCAACTGCGGGAAACGCAAATTCAGCGCCGCGTGCAATTTCAGCAACATCCTGGTCAACCACGAGCGGCTGAACATCAACACCGCCACCGAGGAGGAGCTCATGACTCTGCCAGGAATCAACCGCTCCGTTGCGCAGAACATCGTGGAGTACCGGGACTGCATCGGCGGCTTCAAGAAGGTAGAGGACCTCGCTCTGGTGAGCGGGGTGGGCGCCACCAAGCTGGAGGCCATCAAGCTGGAAATCTGCGTCTCCTCCAGGACCAACTCCTCACAGCATTCTCCGTCGTCGCTGCGTAGAGACGTGGAGCACCAGCCCTGCGCCGGCATCAACATCAACACGGCCACCGCGGCGCAGCTCATGAGCATCCGCGGCCTGACGGAGAAGATCGTCAGGAACATAATGGCCTACAGGGCGGAGCATGGGCCGTTCCGGAGCATCGAGGACCTGGTGAGGGTCAGTCACGTCAACA